TGCACACATTCTTTCAGTGACATGAAGCCAAACAACAATATATTCCAAGTATTTTAATTGACATTTGTTTCTGTGAAAGTTAGGGCTGGCTCAAGAAATTTTGCTGCCTGAGGCAGAGCAGCTGTTGCCCCCTCTTGCAAGTCAAGGGGCACAGAACCCTGGGCAGGGAAAGCTATTTTGGCACCTGGGGTTAAAAATCCCACATGTGCCTCTCTGGCAGGATAAATGCATGAGATAACTAACCATTCATGACCCTGGTAAGCAAGGCTTTGGTGGGGGGAGGTGGTGACACCTTCCAGTTTTGGAATAATAATAATAATAATAATAATAATAATAATAATAATAATAATAATATGCCACCCATCTGACTGGGTTTCCCCAGCCACTCTGAACGGCTCCCAACAAAATATTAAAAACACAATAAAGCACCAAACATTAAAAACTTCCCTATACAGGGGCAGCCTTCAGATGTCTTCTAAAAGTCAAAGCCACCCCTGCTCATGAAGGACAGAAGATGAGTCTGCTAGATCTGGCCAATGACCCATCTAGCCCCACGTCCTGTTCTCACTGTGGTCCACCAGATGCCTGTGGGAAGCCTACAAGCCTGACATGAGCACATTCCCAGCAGCTGGTATTCAGAAGCATAATGGCTCTGGCCGTGGAGGAAGAAAAGAGAACACAGGACCTCTGAGATAAGGGAGTGGGGCTTGGCAGCTGAAACTTAGTCCATGACAGAGGCAAGCCTTCCTCTATTTACACAGGGAATTTCAAGAGAGTCTCTGGCTGCAATACGATGCACATTCAATCGGATGTAAGCCTTGCTGAATTGACTTACCTGTGAGTCAACAGACACGAGTTGTACGGGCCTTTTGGCTAATAATTATGCTCTTGGGTTATGGTGAATCAGGAGCAGATAATAAAGTAATATAGTTTATTTGCAGATCTCCATATGCATTGCTGGGTTCTCAGTGAAATGAAATGGTTGCTCTGGTTACGCTGAGACTCATGATTCTCAAGTTAGTTTGCACTGGAACTGCTGCTGCTGTTGGAACTGCGATAGAACATACAGGTCCGTGTGAGCTTGTGGCTACTCTGCAGGACGTGTGTGTGCTTGAACAAAATGACTCTTACTTGGTGATTTGCATAGTAATAGTCTTGGAAAGCTGTATGGTTCAGGATTGGGCAATCTGTTGTCCCTGACTCATTTGAGGTTCTCTTTCAGTGCTTCAGTTGTTTGAACAGTCAACTCTGCACATTAAAAACTCTGACATGTTGATGATTACCAGAACCTATACAATTTTCATTAGCACTACAAAGCACCCGAAAAATGCATTGGAGGCATGAGTACCTACTTGTATTTTCTTTCCAGGGCCTGGTGTAACTTTCCTTTGGATCTACCCTTCTGAATTCTAGAGGTTATGCAGGTCATTCAAATCTTTCTTTCCTTCTTCCCTTTTTTGATTAGATTTCAGGCTGCTTTTTGGTGATGGGGGCCCTGAAAGACTTCTACAATAATATAGCATCACAATAATCTTTTGCAACATACAGTATGTACAAAAGTCACGAATGCCACCAGTAGATAATTTCGTGTTACTATTTCAATCTTAGTTCTCCCAAAGCCTGGTGGAATAAAAACATACTCAGATCTCCTAACGATTGTGGCACTGCTGGTCCAGTTAATCTTCACAGGAGGGCAATATCTGTTTTATGTATAAAATGTATGCCCTTCCTGGACTACAATTCCCAGTATACTTGACCATTGGCCATTTGGGCCAGGACTGATAGTAATTGGAGTCCATCAGTCTGGAAGGCGACAGATTCCCCCATCCCTGTGATACAACAGCCACAAATGTAACCAACCGAATCTCATTTTGATCTAAACAGCCTGGACTGAGCTGCTTAAAGAACCGCCTTAAATGAGAAACTTATGTGCTTTTTGTATTAATCTATTCTCAGTAAATGCCCACAGAAGTGTAGTGTACATGCACAAATTTCTAGCTTCTCCATTCTGAACAGGTTTCAGCAGCAAAATCTATGAGGAAGATCCTGGGTTTTCCTTCAACGATTTCCTGCTTAAGTAAAGAATGTGATTTTTTTAGTTCATCTGGAAAAGAACTCGCAGAAATAGAGCAAAAATGGGCTTAGCCATCATGATACGACATGCACAGTTCAGGTATGCATAATGAGAGGCGAGGGAAATTGGCAAAGCAGGATGGGGCACAAGTTAAAAATGCCTCTGGGAGTTAAACAACTTTTGGAAGCATTGTGCAATCACCAAATATTTACTATGGAAGATTCTACAGGTCTTGATATTTACCAGAGCGGCTGAGAATTTGCTTCCAAACCATAGTGAGTCACCTGTCCTGTAACTGTAATTCTCTACCCGGGCTTCTTTTCTCATGGACAAATTTTGCAAGAAACATTTCTTGGCAAAGTAATTGTGCAACAGAAATTGAGGGTCCTGTTTGTGTATCCATCCAAGAAATGTTAAATGAGTTCCCCTGTATATGATTTTGGGGAAAGTCTATCAGTCTAAGAAAACATTATGTTGGAAGGAGATCTAAGACAGGGGTATTCATCATGATGTATTGGACCTCAACTCCCATAATCCCTGACCGTTGGCCAAGCTGGTTGGGGCTGTTGGGAGTTGGAGTTCAAGAATATCTGGGCCATAGCAAGATTGTTTGGGAATCAATTTGGCTGAGTGGTGCAGGGAGCTGATTGGCCAGAAAATGGGAGAGTGAGTTTGAGTATGTGTGGGGCAGGGAATGCTTTGGAGAATACTTTTTTTAATTTAAAAAACTGCTTGAAATTTCATTTGGTAGGGCAATACCCCAGTAGACTACATTGATCAGCCTCCAGTCGTATAGCAAGAGGAACCTACAATAACAGTGCCGAAATAAATCTCCAAAAATTGTCCCCTAAAACTAAGAAAATATCTTATCTCCTAAAACTAAGATAGCTTGATTGTAATTTTCTTTCAATATCAAATCAGTATTACTTTGATCCATTGTCGCTGGGCCCCTAAAAGGCGTGGGACAAATAGGCTGGGGCCTGCTCTGCCTATTTGTCAATCCGGCACTGTACAATAAACTGTTGCAGTTTGGGGCTCTCAGTTCAGGAACCCAGCCATTCTATGCCACACCTGCTCTCACCTGGTTTCCCATCCACCCCACAATCAGCATTTCATCCCACTGAGCATGCACAGCTCTCTTTGGGCTGTTTGAGAGTTTGCTTTGTAATCATTTAAGTTTTATGCCTAAATGTTTTTATAATTCTGCAAACCTTGGGGTTATTCCAAGCCTGCTGATACCTCCCTCTTATGCATGCTCTGTGTGTGTGTGTGTGTTTGTGTGTGTGTGTGTGATGCCTTTTCTGACTACGTAAGAACCAACACTCAGAATGGCCATCGCTGTTAGCATAAGCGCAATGCAAGGGTGGGGACTCTCAGGCTCACGGACTGCAGGAAGACCTCTCAGGCCACAACCTTCCTACCCTGGCCACACCCCTCACCAGACCTGCTCCGTGCCCTCCTCAAATGTTTTTGCCTGGATGAAATATGCCTCTGGACTGTAATAATACCTCTTGCTGATTTGGATGAAAGATGGAGAGTCATGTGGATATGTAGAAACCTTTGGCTTTTGCCTGGCTAGAATGTAGCCTACTTCTAATGTTAAGAGTGACATGCATTACTCCTCCCCTGGTGTAAACTAATATGCCCTGGCTGAATGGGTATTGCACTTTTTGTATTATCACTTATTCCATATTATTGGCTGCCCTGCAGATATTAAGTCCATGGTGTCATGTGAGAGATACAATCCTTGGACATGGTTTCCTTGTTAGCAGAGAATCCACCCTCTGACAATGAATGGCATGTGGCAATGGAACACCAGTGAATCATAATAGTCTCACCTGGATTTTACAAGTCTCAAAGCAGGCTTATGCACATGCCTTCAGCTTAGTTTGGCAGTTTTCCCTAATGTGTGTGTAACTGAATTTAATTCAAGATGGTAACCACGTTGGATTTGATTAATAATAATAATAATAATAACCCACCCATCTGACTGAGTTGCTCCAGCCACTCCAGGCGGCTTCCAGCATATTTCAAAACATAAAACATTAAACATTTTTAAAATTCGCTATACGTTATCACAACCTGGGAAGAAAACCATTTCACCCCCACCTCTGCATAAAGCAGGTGTGAACAAAGTTTTTGTTTCACCCTGATACTCACCCCACCCTGCCTGCTCTGGATTTTTTGTGTGTGAGTGTATTTACTTACACTATCAATAACTGTTTTACATGAAAAAGCCATTATCCTGGATCTTCTTGGCTGATGCCAGATCAAAGTGATATACATAAACTTTTCCAGAATACCTGAACCTGCCTTTGTTGTAACTCACCCCCAAGGAGTATGGACTTGGTTATCTGACCTTTACTTCTGCTGCTCTAGGCATAAGAAAGGAAGCGAAGAGGGAGTCGCCATCCCCAACTATCTATGGTCTAATTGCATCACGGAGTCTAATCTCCGAAGATCTTTGGTTTTAGTTCCTTTGTTAGCAAGGATGATGAGACTGAAAACAGTGGGATGTTCATTTGCAAAATAAAAGGAAAACCAACTAAATGAAACCAGGTGCCTGTGACTCTGGTGTCCACAGTAAAGTTGATGATTTCATCAGCGAAAAAGGTGGCAAAACGGGTCAAGATTTTCAGCGGCTATCAAACGAGCCAACTGTAATAGTAAGCATCTAGACAGAATGAAGAATATTATTTTTTAATTTAAGCACTTTATCCTAAGCAGTAGACATTAAAAGTATATGCTCCTAAGGAATAAAACACAATTTTCCCTGCATTGGATCACATTTGCCATTGTGATGCCCATTTACCCAGTTTGCAGGGATCCACTGAGAATGCCTCACAATCCCTTTTCTTCTTACCAGAATTATAGAACTGGAAGGGACCACAAGGGTCATCTAATCCAACCCCCTGCAGGTATCTTTTTGCCAACGTGAGGCTCAAACCTACAACCCTGAGATTAAGAGTCTCATGCTCTACTGACTGAGCTATCCCTGCTTCAGGCAAAACTCATTTTATATTCCCAGGCCTTTTAGGGACTCTAGAACTTAGTCTGCTATTCTGAAATAGTGTCTTGTTCCATTTGATTTTAGGCCACTGTAGGTTTTTTGACACACTTATGCAAACTGCTCAGAGATCTTTTGTGATGAAAGCCGGTCTCTAAATAAATTAAACAAACCTAAATAAAAGTTGTTGTTTTTTTGTGGGAAATTCAGTTTTCTAATTTTAAAAATTACGTTAGTAAGTTAGTAAGATTTCCTCGTTGTGCATGAGACCATGGTCCACCGTTTGGTAGCTGTGCTTAGTAGACTGCCTCATTTTCCAAATCAAAGCCTTGCCACCCTTTTACCTTAAACTACTGAGTCATTTCAAAGGACTCTGCTAATAAAATCTGCTGCCAGAAGGGCTGGCTCCTCTCTTCCTCCTCCACCTCCTCCCTCGTAGCAACGAACATGTTCTAGCTGCTAGCCTAACCTTTGCATTCCTCTGGAACGAGATGAATGATTAAATGGAATCAGTTTTTATTTTCTATTTTTACTTCCAGTCTATTTTGAGGCACTAGCCTTTCTTTTAAGGAATAAAGGCACATCCTAAGAGTTCTAATGAGGCAAAGTGTGTTCTCAGGCAAAGCACCCCATAGTTTTTTTGTTTTTTTAAAATAATATTTATTGAATTTTAAAGAGTTACAAAAAGAAAGAATTAAAAAACAGCATATTTAAGAAATACAAAACATCACATCACGATAATAAAAAAAGAAACAAGAAAAAAAAGAAAAAAGAAAAAAATACAATAAATCTTCCCATAACTTATCTTTCATTTGCTTATTTCCTTGACCTCCTCACACCTCCCTTTTTTTGTATTCTAGTTCAATTAGCTATTTCAGCAAATCCTTTCCATCTTTTCCAGTTTTTGTCCTCTATTCTATCTTAATATAATGTAACTTTACTTTCCCTCCTTCACCATTTAGCAATCTATTTTTCCTTAATCCTTTATAGCATTTCTGCTAAAACCGCATTATTTCATTCCAACATCCTTCTAACATTCCTTAATTTTACAATGTTTCTGTAAATAAACTTTAAATTTCTTCCAATCTTCTTCGACCAACTCTTCTCCCTGGTCTCAGATTCAAAGCACCCCATAGTTGCCAGGCAGGTAGATTGAAGGGGCCTGGCTTGGATTGGTGGTTGGTGTTGCTGGGGTAAATTTGATGTTGCCAATTTGGGGGTGGGAACAGAGGTTATTTAAACAAGGTTCCCAGCAAGCTGCTTTCTCTTTCGCTGTGGGCACCAGATCACCCTCCCTCCCTCCCTTGTTTGGGCTTGTGCTTTGACCTTGCTATGCCTGTCATGGGGTCGTCTGCCTTGGTGCGGGGGCCTGGTAGGAATTTTTCCATTTGGCTGATTAGTGTGTGCCATTTGGTTTTTGCCTACTGCGTAGCAAATCGTCACAACTTCTAAGGTTGGCGGTTAGGCATTGGTTTAAATTGGTTGGTGGAGGGGTATGGATTGGCTGTGCCTGCCCCTCCAACGCTGCTGCTGCACGGGAATTCCGTTACAGGAATTCAGGGGCTTACCATCCTCTCGTCCAAACCCCTGGAATCGGGTTTGGGCCGCGTAAGCCCCTGAGAGCATGCAGGGAGAAGCTGAGGGTCTGTGCCGCAGCTCCAGTCATCCCTGAACTTGTTCCTCCACACTGGCTTTCGCTGGAATCCGGGAGTCAGTTCTGTCCCCAAGGGGGGGGGGGGAGACAGATAGTCATAACCAATGCCTAAGCAACCACTCACAATTTGTATGTTTAATAAAGTTGTGGCCAAAATTATGCCAAAAACCTTAAACAAAAATTTGTGAGTGATGTGTGAGTTATTGGGGTAGAGGTGTTTTGGGGGACCTCAGCATGCAACAACAGGCATTTGAGAATTAAGATGTTAACAGAAGATTTCGTTCTGGACAGAGTGTCTGACTTTTTGCAACTTGAGGAATATTAGATGCGTGATTTTACTTTGCATCTGGGGAAGATAAGATCCACGGTCGAAGGCAGTAATGCTCCCGAATATCAGTTGCTGGAAACTGCAGGAAGGGACGCTGCTGCTGTGCTCAGGTTCAGCTTGTGAGCTACCTATGGGCATTCGGTTGTCCACTGTGAGAACAAGATGCTGGATTTGTTGGTCCACTGGCCTGATGCAGCAGGACTACTTTGATGTTCTTATAGGTACATAAATTTGTAGATCTTACTTTGTTGTGGAAAGCCTTTCACTGCGTCCAAGGTAGCCACCATATTGCCCTCCGGAAGTTGGACTACAGCTCCCATAATCCCCGATGATTGTTTGGCTTATAGTCCAACAGCATTCCCACCCATGTCTTTTGATCTTACCTCCCAATCCTGCTCCTGCAGATTTGATTTTACTTACAGCAAACGTTCAAAACATTAAAACAGAGAAAATATATATAAAATACAGAACATGTCAGTAAATTCCAAACAACCAAAAATCAACAGCAAACACAAAATAAATTCAATATTACCAAAGAATAAAAAAAAAATCTAAGCTTGAGTACATAAATATAAAGCAATAAAGTTTCTGGTATGGGTCTTGCTGCCCTTCAAGGAACCTGGCTTGAATACAGTTCAGAGCAGAGAAGTAGACAATATACAGCTGTCTCCCACATCTCTCCTCCAGAGGAGGCTGACAGCATCAAAATGCAAATGTTGGGGAGAGCAATGATGGGAAGTCTCTTCCCCAGCCTCCTAGAAGTACCAATGGCTGGTGCAGGTCTTAGTGCACTCCATCATTTCTTCAATAAGGCTTCAATACAGAAGTTTCACTGGGCTGGTTATATCCTAGATCATAAGAATAAAATTAAAGGAGCTACAAGAACTCAACCATAATTTTTTGCATTGTTTATGGTTTTCCTTCCAGCTGCTACAACTATGGTGCCCAACATAAATCAGCCATAAGGATTATCATTGTTCATCGCAGATTGCTCAAGACATCCGACTAGGTCAAGGATGGGGAAGTTGTGACTCTTCAGGTACAGTTGGACTCTCAACTCCTACCAGCCCCAGTCAGCATCACCTAAGGTCAAGAAGGATGGCAGTGGTAGTCCAACAACATCTGGCTGTCCATCCCTGGATAAGGTGAAGCAACTTAACACTGCTCCATGTCTAGAACATGAGCCCTGAAGAAGCATATTCCAGATCGGTCCAAGGGACATTTAGTACAGTATTCCATTTCCCACACTGGCCAAGTAAGTGCCTTTGGGAAGTCTATAAGCAGGACATGAAGGTGACAGGGCCATAGTTTACATGTATGTGCATGCACGTGGTTCCAGGTTCAGTTAAATTCCTGACATCTCCAGGTAGAGCAGAGAATGTCCTAAATGAAACTGCAGAGCTGTTGCTAGTCAATGTAGGTAGTAGGATGGACCAACCGTGTGACTCGGTCTCTCCCAGTAACTGATATTTGGAGGTACAGTTTCTAAATAGGGAAGATCCATTTAGCTATCATGACAAAAAGCTAATGCTAACAGACCTGTCCTCTGTGAATTTGTCCAAAGCAGGGATATGGAACTGGTGGCTCTCCAGATATTGCTGGACTACATCTACCATCATCCCATCCAACAATGTCTGGAAAGCTGCAAGTTCCCTTGCCCTGGTCTAAAGCCACATACAAGTAGAATAGTAACATTTATAACATTACATCCTGAAAACATTTATGATGTTTACGAATGGAAGCAATTATGCTTTTATTTTTGTTGGAAGCCACCCAGAGTGGCTGGGGCAACCCAGTCAGATGGATGGGGTACAAATAATAAAATTATTATTATTATTAGTCACTTTCACATCCTATGAAAGCTAATTCTGCAAGTCAAATACTGTATGTGCTACATTGCTTTATTTTGTCTATCCTGTTGGGCACTAGGGGAAGAGGGAGAGAAAATAATGACCTCCTTTTTCTCTGAAGTAATATATTGTATATTTTAAACAGCTCATTCTAGACAAGGTGATTAAAAATCAAAGATCAGATAGAATAATGGGACTGAATACATCACATCTGCATTTGAGAACAGACTTCATCAAGGCCGTGTCACATATTTTTTCGCATTGGTGCCACTGTGATTAGCTTTGCTTTGGAAAGGAGAATGTTTACATTATGATTCTGCCTCTGTGTGTCTCAGGCATTGAGGGCTACATGTTGGAACATGCAAAGGGATTCTTTTTGTGTCCTAGATCCTGCTTCATTGGGATAACCATGAAAGCGTTGGTTAATAAAACTTCACGGCCTTTCTTGGAGGATGTTTGCAAGCTTGCAAATGGCCATTCACCCAGTTCAGGCATGTCCAACAGGTAAGATTGTGATCACTTGACTTCTGTGGTAGATCACTGGCTCCCCCCAAAGAAGCTGAACAACTGTGGCTCCCCTAAAAAAACTCAACATTTTACCTCCTCCCTGAAAAAAACCCAACAACTTTGACCCAAACCCCCCAAAAGGGGGTAGATCACTGCAGTTTTTAACTCTGTGAGTAGATCGCAATCTCTTGGGAGTTGGCCACCCCTGTTAGTTGTTCCTTGCGACAAGAAAGGATCCCTGCCAGGTGACCAGCTGGAGATGTTAATTCATTTTTTACTGACTGCGTTTATAGACAGCCTCTCCGCCACAATGACTCCCATGTTGGCTAGCAATAAAAACCAACCAAGACAATCCACGATGAAAACAACACAGGCCTGAAAATAAATCTAAAGCTGATTGGGTAGCTCATTTAAATATTTTATTTAAAATGTTTATACATCGTATTTTTGTACAAATACACACCAGTGGCTCACAATAAATTTACCAAATGCATTATCTTATGAAATAATAAAAAAAATACAGTAAATATTTTGAGGGGCAGCTACAGAAATAGAATAAACCAGTGCTTTTTCTCTGGGGGTACGCATACCCCTAAACATTTTGTGAATCTAAGTTTGGCCTCACTGAGGCGCAGTATTTCAATATGAGTAGGAAAATGAG